CTAATTTACATAAACGAAAATTTATCTTTTGTCCTTATTACACGCAATCTATTCTTTCAAATGATATATAACACTTGGTATTTTGATTAAAATTGAATTTGATAATTTTGTATTGACTTCTATAGTAACTTTGCGTAATTTTAACGGTTTCTATAATCCACCGACAGTCACCGTTGCCTTAAAAAAAACTTTTAACTACGAATATCTCATGATCTAATGATTGTAAACACTTGAAATTTTGAACATTATTTGACATTGTACACATTATTACAGACAACACAAAATTTTTGCTGTGGGCGTGGCAAATCCGGGTTACTTTTACCTTTACCTAATAATTCAAATTGTTATAACTCGAAAAGTTTGCATTTTTCACCATCGAAATTTTACAAAAAATTAAAGTACTATTTGGGACAATACCTGATAGAGTTACATTTTGTTTAGGCCTTTTACTAAGGAATAGGATTTACAATTTATAGAATTTTGATATTTTGACCATTTACATGCATAATCTTGGTCTTTAGAAGGTATTGATCTACGATATCCATTCATACTTTTATCTTTGATGTCCGACATATATTTTCGCTTTTACAAACGTCCCGAAACAGCAATTTTCAACACTTTTAAGGCTTATATTCTCTTTTATTTGACCACTGTTGACCTCTAGGCCGAAACACAAATTATTGTACCTTTCCAAAAATATTTTCATTTTTGTTGTGCGAATTGAACTTTTAACTGTACAGCTATTTGAAAATTCGACTTTTTACTACCGAATGTTAACACCTTTTAGTGCCGAATGGTATCAAATCCATGCGTCTTTTCACTACCGAACTTTAAACGGTTTAAACAATTTTTTTTACTATTGAATGTGTACATGCTTTTCTTTCCGGTAAGCTATTTCATTTTGACTTTAAAATGCAACGTGTTATCGATGTATCAGGTTGGATGCGCACTGCTTCGGTGCCGTTATAACGGTTCTAGTCTTTCTTTAATTTGATGTCTGACCTATGAGCATTAAAGCGAGTTCGTAAATTATTCTTAGTTTCTCCTACATATTGTTTGGGGCATTTCTTGCATGAAATTAAATATATTACATTCGAATGTTCACATGTTAGATGTTCCTGGATCGGGTACCTTTTATTCGTAGAGTTGCTTACAAAATAATGAGTTTCTGATATAAAGGGACATGTTTTGCATCTACTGGACAAACAATCTACTGGACTTTACAATAATCATTTTCGGACACCAACCCAGCTTCATTTAATTTAACCCAATTGCTAGACGAAATGTATCTGTATAGTATATTTCCGGCTTTTAAAATCCATCTATTACGTGAATAAAATTATTTTTTACTGTGAGATAATACGAATGACCCCAAATGACTAGGTGTTAGTCGTGTAGATTTAGGAGGTATACAGTCAAATATATTTTCTTCTTCATTTATCTCAAGGATATATTGAGTCTCATTTACTTTAGGATAGCTTTTGACGTGTGAATCGAAGTTGGCTTTTAAAGTTGCTTCACTCCGTAAATGTCTCGATGTAGTTATATCCTTCTGAATAGATTTACTATACAATGAATTACCTAATAATTTCATGCAATTACTACCTACGATATTACCTTCTCGTTTATATTTATTTCTTAGATCTCTCAAAATTAAAATATAATCTCTATATGGTGGAGTTTTAAAATTTTCTTCGTATACTATACCATCTAATATTCTAATAATTCGTCCACCGGCTTTAACTATTTCTTGAATATCAACCGATGTAAAACTTCTGAACAGAAACCATTTCTGAACCTGATTTAGTGCCAGTTTCCTTATTACCTTCTTTGTTCGTAAAAGTAATTTTATCTTTAGCTGGTATGGGTTGGAAGAACATGTTAGTAGGATATTCAAACCAGACTTTTAAAATAGCCGTTCTAGGTCTGAATATCTGCTCATTAAAGAGCTTAACAAATTCTTTATTTTCTTCCGGTAGAAACGGTCTACCACTTTCCGCTTTAGGATATTCGCTGTCTAAATCCGACGTGGCGGAAGCGTACAAACCGTTAGCATCAAAGGCCATTAGTTTAGTACATTTTATTTTTTTAAGTTTTGAATTAACTTCCGTTTTATCTTTTTTACTTTTACTATATTCTTTAAATAAATCAATTATATTACTACTATCGAGTTATGTGTATTCCTTTAATACATTACAAATTTTATCCATTTTATTCGTTTCAAATGATTTTCGATTTGCCGAAACTCTTCCTCCTTTAATGGATTGTCTGATAAAATGTCTTATAAAAGGGTGTGTATGTGAGCAAACTTTTTCTACGTTTTCTTTTTCGGTGTATTTCGGAACCATTCTAGTAGTTTCATACCATTCTTCTTCAACCATTTCTTTATGGTAATGATACAAATAATACCAACCCTTTAAAGATAAAGAAGGAGCCGTTAGATTATTGGAAATATTCTGAAATACAACTTCTTTCATAACTTTGTTATATTTTATCAAATAAACTCCAAGACATAACGTATCTCTTTTAGCGCAAGGTTTCCATTCGTGTCTTAAAGATTCCCAATTATATTCGGTGTATTTTGCAATATTGATATCAGTGATCTTTCTCAAATTCATTGGTAGATTAGATGAGCCGCCAAACTAGATTTTTCATGTTGATAGGAACATATGAAATTAATATTTTGCAAATAATTAGAGTTGCCCATTATTTGTTTTTGTCTTTTCCATTTTTTCTGTAAATATTCATCGGTGAATGAATTAGTTTAAGGTAGAGACAGAATGCCTCTAGCTGTTACTAGTGGACATTGCGTTAGTTTTTTTCGCATTTTTAAGCACGATCCAGTTATCAAAACCGCTACCGTTATGAGAAATTAATGTTCATCTTTTTTGATCTATTTTTCCTAAACGTTGCAACATTTGATCGATGCAATCTTTACCCACAAATATTTCTACTATATTCATTAATTTATTATAAATTCTTCTGGAACACTATAAGACAATGAGATGAGACAGAAATGCGATTTATGTAAGTAAAATACCCAATTTAATTCCTCGGATACTTTCTTTGGTTGAAAATATCTATGTTTGGGCATATAAATTTGAAAGTAAGTGTTAAATTTCTTATTGAATTCACAGATTCTAGCAGTTGTCATAACTCCTTTTCGGTTTGATTTTGAAAAACTGTTGATGAAATCTTGACATTCTTTTGTGTAGTCTTTGTTTAAAACACAATTTACGCACTTTACAAAGCAGTGTCCATCGCCTGGTATGAAACAATTTATACCAGCATATTCATTTATCATTTTGAGTAGGGTGGTACCACTACCCTTTTTTGATCTTTTTATTTCTTTGAAATTGTTTTTACGTATGATTTTTCCTGAGAAATACCAATCAGAAGCATCCGATTTTACATCCACTGTTGCGAAGAAATTGTGAAAAGTTTTGGCATTAAAACCTACAAATTGCATGTTTTGTTTGTGTCCTCCATCTTGAATTATCTCTCTATCTAATTCAATTTGCCCTTTAAATGTTATAAATTTATTAGAAATAAGGTTAATAACATTAGAAAAAAGCACATTTGATATGAATGTTTCATCGTCTAAAATTTCAATTTATTTCATATTTTTTAAGTAACTATTTTTAACTAGGAATTTTTCACTTTTATTTTCTACATCAAATTTATCTAAAATTTCATTGAATTCTTCAAATACTTCAATGGTTATGTTCTTATCTTCTCTCGATCTTTCGAAAAATATGAATAATTCATTAACATATATGTTTAAAATTTCTGTTTTCTTTTTATAATGAGATTTCTATTTTGATCAAAGTAAAGTAATCAATCCACAAGATGAAGTTTGAACGGCAGTGAACGCGGCTAATACAGTTGGGACAATTATTGGAAGCATTAATCCACCGGTTACGGCTGTTGCCACCGTTTTCCCTACTGTTAGAACTGTGCTTAATGTTTTGAAAACAGAATCAATTCTACTCCACATTTTTCTGCATTTGTTAAAGTGTTTTAGTTTTTTTTTTAGTTCCTTTTGTTTTTCTATCATGTAGTTTTGTCTGCTTTCTAGTTCCATTTTTTAGGTAATTAAATTAAATGAATTTGTGATAAAGCTATTGTGTGTTAATAACAACTTTTACAGTTACTAACGATAATTGTTATTTCGAATCATTAATCTTAATCATTAAAATTTTGTTCTTGATGACTTTTATGAATATCAATTGAGGTAAATATATTATCATTATTAACAAAATATAGTTTTACGTATTCAAAATCTGTTGCTGGTAAAAACTCATAACTCTTTGTTGAATCTCTTGGTTGGAGTAATGAGTGTCCAATAAAAATCATTGGTAGTGGAGTTTCCGTTTTCAATATCATATCAAATTCACTCAATATAAAAATATCATTTTTTTTATCTGGTATGATAACATTCTTATCCTAAATATATATTTTCCACTCGTTTTAATTTCATATAAGTGATTAAACTTGCTATTTTCGTCGTTAATTTCTAATTCTTTAGTTTCTACATTTTCTCTGCCATTGATAAACTGAAGAACTTTACGAGCGTTAAAATTGACGAGGAGAACTATATGCCGATATTTGTCTGAAGAATATTGAATCAACTTTTACTTGTATAGGAAAAGTTATTTCAATTACTATTTTTTCTCGGAAAAGAAATTGAGAATTAAATATTTTAAAGGGGAAGATTAAATCTGGAGAATATACTCTTATATTAGCTGTAAATCCATATTTTTTATATTCATACTCTTTTGATCTATCAATATTATCAGTAATAGAAGCATCATCAGAACTCAAATTTCCAAATGGAAGATTGAAATAATATGATTTATTTTCTTTCTTGAGATTCTTTTCTAATGCCGCTATATTTTTTTCCTGTTTCAAAACTTCGTTAATAGTGGTTTTCTGTTGTTGAATAACACTATCATCAATGTTTTGTATTTGTTGTTGAATATAGGTTTTAATTTCGCTATCATCTATGTTTTGTATTTGTTGTTTAATATTTCTTAGTTTGTAATTCACTATTAAGTTTAGTTTCCAGAGCATTTAATTCCTGTTGAAACGTATCTTCATTTTCACCTGGAATGTTATCTATTAATTGTTGAATGTCTAATTTTTGTTTTGATTTAGATATTAATGAAATTAAATTTTGTAACTCAGTTTTGTTCACTACGTTGACCAATTGTTACCTCTTGTTGTAATTTAGTTTCATTAACCAAATTTTTATTATTTAGTTGACGTTTGAAGAATCTTTTAACATTACTTATTTTATCTTCTAAATAGTTTTTATTTACTTCAAGTTCAATTGAATTTATTTGTTCTCGTAAATATTTCTTGTGAACAGCGTCATTATCATTTTCCGGAGATTTTTGAAATTGTTCATATCTAAATAACCTTGAAGAGTGTCTCCGATTTGATCCACAAAGTAAAGTTTTGCTTTATTATCCATGTTGTAGTGTTAGGTTTTTTAGTTTCTAAAGATAAAGAACCTAATCCAAACTTGTTCCCCATTTTTATTAAGTTAAAAATGTTTTCCTAAACTCAACTGATATAAAACCCAAAGTGAAAGCTATCCACAAGACTTTTGTCCCGGTAATTGAATTTGAAATGTTGAACATTTGATTGGTTGATTAGTCAATTTCATTATCTCTTCAGTTGGTTCTAATTCAAAGGAATCGAAGAAATATTTGAAGAGTCTTTGTATAAGCAGAATGATGAACTCCTTTTTGATCGGAAGTATGTATATTTGTTATAGCATAAAATTTACCTTTCTTATATTTGAGATTATTTATTTCATCTCTCATAAAATAATAAAACGGTGATATATTTAACTCATTCGCCCATCTCATAAGTTGAAAGTTTGTGGTTGTATCAGTTCCATATTTATCGAGAAAGATATTCATTTTTAAAAGTCGGTTTTTTGAAGTTCGTTTTGATAAAACCTACCTATGATTTGTTCTTTGTCTTGGTCGATTAATTCATATGTTGGAGGTGATGTGGTGTTTACTTTATCAACGATGAACATTTCGTTTGTCCAATATCCAACGTAACCTTTTTCGAATTTACTTTTATATTTGAAAATACGAACTCCATCTCCAACTTTAAATTTGGGTTTAATATTTAAATTATTTATTTCATTTTCGTAGTTATGTTGTGCGTTAATTGACTTTATAATATTTGGATTATTTGTGGCTTGTGTTGGTGTGACACCTATAGATGAATGAATTTTGTTATTGTATTCATCTACAACCTCTGGTAATATTTTAAGTTATTTTTGAGATTTAAATTCCGTGAACTTTTTGAATAATTTATTTTTTAGAGTTCTATTATATCTCTCAATAAGTACAGCTTAATGCGTGCTGTAAATTTCAAATCCAAGAGATTTCATATTTTTGTTATAAAATTCACTTCCTTTATCTAACCGTAGTTTTTCTGTATGTCGGTTAGATTGTTTCATAATCGTTTCAAATGCGTGTTTAACTGATAATCCTGTTTTGTATTTTAAAGGAATAACCCAAGCATATCTCGTATACAAATCTATAACTGTTAAGCAATATTTATATCCTCTTTCGACTGGCATATTAATTAAATCGGCTGACCATATTTCATCTTTTTCAAATACTTTTTCTTTTAAAAAGTTTTTAGTTTTTCTAAATTCTTTATGAATTTCATTCGCTAATCCCATACCCAATTTCATCTTTGCTTTTAACAGTTTTATGATCAGAACCCTTTGCATTCTCCCTTTGAAAGTTGGATTTGGAATATTTTCAAGTTCGATTATCATTTGTCTGTCTGCTTCGTGTCTGAAGTTTATGTCTTTGTTTCTCTATAGTATGTCGTGTTTAAGCGCGGCGGCGTCAACTCTATTGACTGGTTCTTTACCAGGTTTGGGTTTATCGTTTTTGTCTAATCGCAGATCTAACCTGGTACCTGGACCAGTGTAATTATGACCGGGAAGATGTTTTTCTCTGGGATATTTGCCCATGGTAATCCAGGAAGAGAACATAATGATTTTTGTATATCTCCTGAACCAAAATAAGGTTTTGGAGAGTGAGCGATAATCATTTTTTCCTTTCCTTTCTTCTTACCTCCTGTTTCGCAGATCTCTTATTAGTTGTAATTCTTTCAACTCGTTAGATTGTTTCACTGTGTCGCTTATACTCTTTCCCGCTTCCGCGATTGAGCCAACGGCTTTAGCCTCGGATGAAATAAGTGATTTGTTGTTTGAAACAAAGCTAGCTCCTTTTGGAATTATTGTTTTACCTAGAGAAAATATTGATGAAAACATACCGTCGCCCGAATAATCTTCGAATTTGTGTTGTTCGTGTTTTAGAATTAAACTCATCCTATTTTTAAATGAGTTAATTTAACGAAGAAATTGTGGTCTGTTTTTTTCTCCAAAAAAAGTGTTATCTTCCTTCTAGAAGTTTCTAGACTAAAAATGACATTATTTAAAACGAGGCTATTAAAAAACCGGATGTTGAGCGAAACAAGGAAGTTATTTTATATGCTTTTTAATATTTTTAATATGCTTTTTTCGTTTAATTTAATGAAATTTAGGGTGAATAGGTTCACCTGGATGAACATCATCCAAATCTAAACCTAGACCATAAAGACTGAAACATGATCTTAGATCTTTCTGTGAATGGTGCAAAGACGTACCAAATTCATCATTGGACGATCCATCAAATACAATTCTAACTTTGGATGCACTCTTATCGTCTCTGAAGATAGCATGATGAGGCAAATAAAATATTGGACGATCATCATTTGGTATCAATTCGTCCGTAGGAACTTCTTCAGAAAACTCTTCTACTAAATATTTCTCAATAGCTTCTTGATAAACATGTGCTTTACCTGGATCCCTAAACAATTTTCGCTCCAAACTAACTAAGCGCTTGACTGCACGATTATAATTATTCTTCAGGGGGATATAACTTCATTTTTTCCTTCTCGAATTGAGACTGATTTCTGGAAATTATCAAATAACCCATGCTCTATTGTTCAAACTGGATTTTCATCACTTTTGATGCCTAATGATTCTATGTCCCAGAACTTCTGAAGAATGTCATTGAAGTCAGTATCACTTTGAACCTGGATATTCATAGAAATGAGTGTTGAGCTCTGTTTTCTTGTATTTTTGGAAGCATGTCCACAAAATAACCATCCTAAGACTGAACGAACTGCTACCGGTTGAAATTGGTCACCTCTTACTATATCTGGCGTACCAAAACCATAAAAATAAACTAATCCAATCAACACATCAATTTCTTGTTCAGGTCGTGGAAAATCATCTACAAACTTGATATCTTTAAGATGATTCCATTTAGACGGTTGAACTTGCACCTCTTCCGTTGGTTGACAAATAATGTTCGTAGTCAAAACTTCAATAGGGATCTTCACATTAACTTGATTTAAACTTGATAATGAAATCTTAACTCTTTGTCTGGAAGATAACCTTCCCGATCTGCCTTCAAAACCAGTGACAGTTATTTTAACATTCTCGCCTGTAAGTCCTAACTCATTCACTATGTCCTGTTTGATGAAAGATCGTAGGGAACCTTGATCAAAGAAGCATCGTACTACTTTCGACGTACCATTCGAACCATGCAAGACAGCTGGAGCGGTCTAGAGTACAATCTGTCCAGATTGATCTGATGTAAAACTGGAGGTGGCTGTAATTTGAGAAGAGACATGGGATGCAATTGTCGTTTGGTTACTCAAAGAATCCTTGCTGACGTAGCTGTCAAGATGAAGTAAGCTGTTGTGTCGCCCACTGCAATGTTGACACATCGAACTCTGACATTCACTTGAGGTGTGGCCTGGATCAAGGCATAAAAAGCATAAACGTTTATCTAATATGCGTTGATGTCTTTCTCGAACAGGAGACGTCAGAAATCCAATGCAGTTCTGAATTTGATGTGACTTATTACATATAGGGCATGTCACAGCTTGCATTTTGGTAGATGCAGTCGTAGATCTTTTCTGTGAAACATCATTACCATTAGACTTCTGTTGACCAAATCTGTTAGTAAATGTTTCCAATACGGGTGTATAATTTTCTGTAACCATTGAAAAACTCTTGACACATTCTGCTGGTTTTCCTTTTAAACATCTGACGAGGTACTCTAGCTTCTGAACGTCGGCTAAGGAATTATTCTCAATAATGGATACCTTGATAGACTGATAAAATGGTTGCCAGGATAAAACATCACCATCAAACTTAGGAAGATCTAATTTCGGTAGCTTGACTTGAGTAGTTACTTGACCGTTTTGATTGTTGCTGTTATTGACTGGTTGATCAAGAGTTTGAGTGGGTCCTTATAGGCAGTTAGACAAATCCACAAGAATTGTGCCTTCTTGAGTGTTTACGAGCTAAAAATTGAACGCGCAATAACTCATACTAAATATTTTTCGATTCTTCTTTTTCATTAGGGTTTATCCTTGGTTGATTACAAACACTCATGCCAAGTTTCGTTAAAATCCGTCAAGAATTGTCCCTTCTAAAGTGCTTACGAGCTAAAAATTGAACGCGTTTTCAAGAACAAGGGCAATAACTTATACTTAATATTTTTCGATTCTTCTGATTTTCAATAGGGTTCATTGTTGGGTGATTACGAACACTCATACCAAGTTTTGTCAAAATCCGTCAAGAATTGTGTCTTGTAGAGTGTTTACGAGCAATTGTGGACGGACCGACCGACGTATATGGGTGATATGGACTAAAACTAAAAACTAACTTATTTAACAAAGATTAAACTAAAGGGACATAACTCGTCAACTTCTGAACACAGTAAATGAGTCTAGTCTGTAACAGGCTCCAAATGTTGTTGGGTGGGGGTTAAGGGTAGAAATAATCACACCGAGGGTTCTATGGACTAGATGTTTATTATTAACATACAACAAAAACCCTGAAAGTACAAAGATTATGATTACTAACTATAAAAATAATAAAAAACTAACACCAACTATGCAAAAATTCAATATAGCCTAAAACTAATAAATATGAAATATATGAAATGTAAAGGCACCATTTTGCACAGTTACAATCTTTAAGGACAATCATAATGAGTATTTAATAAATGTAAAACAATATAAATATATATTAATGACTTAACCTACCCTGTAGAGGGGTTTTAAAATAATAAACCAATGGGAGGGAAAGTACCTAACCAGAGGTGTAGGATCTGCAAATAAGATGTTTAAAAGAGTTGGAGTACATTGTATGTAATTTAGTAGGAATAGTTAAGTGTAATAATGAAAGAGAATATATATGTAATGTAATTTATAAGACATAAAAGATACTATAAGATATAAAACTTGCAAAATACAACAAGGCTGCCACCCTGGTAACCAGGATAAACAAAGCTACCAAAAGATAACTAAAATGTAACATACCTTGAACAAGATCAATCCAAATCCCAAGAATATATGGAAATAATATAAAACCAGGAAAACAGTAAACTATACTATCCATTACAACATTGAAGAAGATTCAATGTAAATTATATATATTTTCCTACACCAATACCATCAGTCTGACAAAACTAATACTGAATGACAAAGTTGCCAACCAGAAAACACTATTCAAAAAGAGTTCAGAGCTAGGAAAAGATAATCTGAGGTGAAGAGAACTCAGAGACAGAGAAAGATAGAGTAAAGAAATAGAGGCAGTGAAATGTGACTATTAGTTGATACTGTGCTAATTAAACCATACTTATACAATTAAACTATTTAATTTGTACACTTCAACAAAAACATCCTTAATGATATTCAGTAACGAATCCGTAACGTATCCTTAACATAAAATTTACTGATAAATATTTGACAAATTCGAAAATCATAAACATTTAGGTATTATAGTAGAATCTGACTTGAAATGGAATAGATCATCTAATTAAACAAGCTGCAGTTAAATTATATCATTTATTGTCTGTCACAAACGTCTTAAAATAAGTTACACACTTGATACAGATAGGGATCCGGAAACAAATATTGACACTAGTACAATGAATGAAACTTTAATTACCCTAGATGAAATTGATACTTTTGTGATAAGAGTTAAAAGGTATGCAGAGGAAAATTCAGATTTAAGGATGCTGCATACAATTATGGATTTAAAAGATATAACAGTTAATAAAAATTAATAGAAGTAACCGACAAACTTCTATACAAGATTTCCTAATTAAAAAAATGTAAATAATATTTATAATGTTATATTGTTATTTTGTATACATGTATTTCTAATACATAGAATGAAATAAAGGAAATGAATGAAATTGTTTCTGCCAACTCAATTCTCTCATAAGAGACCACCTCCAGTAAGAGGCCGTTTTTGAATTTTCCCTTGCGTGGTCTCTTAATACAGTTTCTACTGTATTCGTCCGTCTCTATAATATGCCTGCGACGAATGGTATGTACTGATTCTAATTCTTATAGTACTGAACTCCTTCAATTGAAATCCGCGCTTATCGTATCTGGTGCAACAATATATACTCCAAGGTATGCTCTTTATCAAGAATCGGACTTACATCCGCTTGCTGACTTACGGAAAACAAGGCGATTGTGCTTACTACATAAGATCCTAAATGTACCCTCTCCATCCTTCCTTCGTGACAATATTCCTTTAAATTCATAACTTTATTCCCTTCCCGAAACATAATATTTCAATACCTAATTCACGCCTGACAATTAAACAACGTTCATATTTTCCAAAGACAATAAACAAATACAGAAACCTTACCCACAGTCAATTGAACGCTGATATCAATTTAAGTTTCAAAAAATTGATTTCATTTAAGTCCAAATTACGTAACTATAGGGATCTAGGGCCATGAAATCTATGTATTCTCCGATTACGATATTCATCATCATCTTTTCAGACGTAATATTATCAGGTATCCTATGTTTAGTTGTACTCAAAATGTTGAAGATATCTATCACTACTTTTTTAATTGCAGAACATATTTACCTCCATGCACAATAATATTTAACAAATTATTTTCTTAAACCACCTACCCTATGACATCTAGATTACAAATTCTACTTCATGGCAACACTTTCTTTCCAAACTCTGTGAATGTTTTTTTTATAGCAGTTCAGAATTTCATTTCATTCATCCACCACTTTAATAGTAGGATAAGATATTGCACCCTTTTTGCCACCATGTTTACATATTATGTACATATTTATAATTGAATTGTAAATAAGTTCAATTTTCTTGTATTTATGTTCATTTTATAATTCATAATGGCTCATTATACGCCCACATGAATATATGGTCGTATATTATCGTCGCCCCTGTCCGTAGGTCCGTCCGTCAACATTTCTTGTGAGCACTATAGAGACTACAGTTTTTATCTGATTTTGATAAAACTTGGTGTGATGCTTTAGATTGATAATATCTCGATCAAGTTCGAATTTGACATATTTTCAATGAACGCTTTTTGAGATATTGCCCTGACTTAGAACGCCTTGAAATTTGTTAAAAATTGTTTGTGAGCAGGATTGAAGCTACATTTTTCAACCGATTCTGATGAAACTTGGTGAGATCATTGGAATTGATAAGATCTCGGACAAGTTGTAACTTGACGCATTTCTGATGAACGGTTTTTGAGTTATTGCCCTTGAATTTGTAAAAACGCGTCAAAATTTGTTAAAAATAGTTCGTGAGCAAGATTGACGCTACAGTTTTCAACCGATTCTGTTGAAACTTGGTGTGATCATTGGAATTGATAAGATCTCGGACAAGTTCTAATTTGACTCATTTTCGATGAACGGTTTTTGAGTTATTGCCCTTGACTTTGTAAAAACGCGTCAATATTTGTTAAAAAAAAGGTTCTTGAGCAGGATTGACGCTACAGTTTTCAACCGATTCTGATGAAACTTGTTGTGATCATTGGAATTATCTCGGACAAGTTCTAACTTGATGCATTTTCGATGAACGGTTTTCGAGTTATTGCCCTTGACTTTGCAAAAACGCGTCAAAATTTGTTCGTGAGCACAATAGAAGCTAAGGTTTTCAACCGATTCTGATGAAACTTGGTGTGATCATTGAAATTGATAAGATCTCGGACAAGTTCTAACAAGAGATATTTTTGATGAACATTTTTTGAGTTATTGCCCTTGACTTTGTAAACACGCGTCACAAGTTGTTTTTTGCCCTTGATTAGAGCTGTGTGATTTAATTGTTTGTTGTATTTGGAATTTTAGGTTGTAACATTGCGTTATTGATATTGATTTTAAAAAATTTTGTGGAATTATTCAGCATAAATAATATCTTCAATATGAGAAAATTCGTACTTTAGTTACTAAAGACTATTTTATTATTTCTGACAGCTGCCAGTGGGCGTATGTTACCTTGCAACGCAAGCTATCTATTACATATTGTTTGAATTTCTAATTTTTCATCTCACTATAGGAGAAGGTTTATAGATTTTATAATTTGCCCTTATCCTTTTGTTTGAAATAATAAAATATGTTTAAACCAACAAATTAGACGGACAGGTTCGCGATCAAATCTATATTAGCCAGAATTATTTCATTTCGTCTTTTCTTTTCCATATATAGAAAAGACATATAGAAATAGAAAGTGAAATTCGAAGTTCGAAGGATGTAATAATCGGGATACCATCACGATTCTCAAAAATCGGAGATAGAACGAGCGTGGTATAAGCTTAAGGAAATCACCAGACCTATACCATGAGCGCAAATGTCGCCAATAATCGCCTTGGAGATCACCATAGAATCGGGAATTTCTTTGGACAAGCGTAATAACATCTACATGAACGCAATAAGCGCAAATGTTTTTGTCTCCATCTTGGCGATAACGTAACACGAACCGGTAATAGTGGTACTATCAAGGCTCAGGCGTGAAACTGTTGTGGCTGGAAAGTGGCTAGATTGGGACTTTCGGCATTCATTTGTGATAGTATCAGAGACGGTTGGTGTAAAATTCAGAATTTCCGAACTCTCCGAATTGGTCCAGAAAGGAAATGTGGGGAGTTTAAAATTACATAGGCCTACCCACTGTATTGGGAGAGAGTCGCGGAAAGAACAAAAAATCATCTATTTTTCTCACAATTCATGCACATTTTCCATAAGATATAGAATCGAAGTTGGTTAAAATGTCAGGATTTATCAAGACGTATTTGTATTTTGTTTTTCAGTGCAAGAAATGAGTTTATAGACTGTGTATATAAAAGTTTCAACTCTAAAAAAGAGAAAACTATGTCATTATTGAAGCCATTATTTGATGTTGAGACCGTAACCGAAGCTTACACAGGGTTATGTAACAACTTAACAGGTTTGTTGATAACCAGTTTTCCTTCACAATCTCAAAGGCAAATCTGGAGATATATTTTGAATACGCTTATCTGTATCGATTATTAATTGAGTAACTTTTTCTCCCAATACCTCACAAGTTTTTGTCATCCAGTAACAACTTTGATCCGAACATCGGGGAGTTGCGGTGGCTCAGTGAGTTAGACGCTTGCTCGCTAACCTGAAGGTTCAGGGTTCAATCCCGGCATAGGTCGAGATAATACCTTCGGATTTTTCAACCCGGTTTCCCCCTGTCAGTGATGCAGGTAAGAGGGGCTGACATGGAAAAAGCGACTAGTCGTTCGGATGGGACAATAAACCGAGGCCCCGTGTGCTACAGGCTGTGCACGTTAAAGATCCCTCGACAGTTACAGAAATCGAAAAAAAAGCAGGCTAATGCCGCTGTCCTGGCAAAATTTCCCTCATGGCACCCTTCATGGCGTTGCCCGTCTTCATTAGCTCACAAGGTGCAGAAGAGTAGGACGTAAAACCCCATTCATTTCATTTCATTTCATTTGATCCGAACATCTAAGTCCGTCAGCATTTCCAGCCAAGCTATATAGCATGTGATATAGCAGAAGAGTGGGCTGTATGAGTATCGATCATCCAGTTCGTAAGATTTTGAGGAAAATCCAATTTCAAATGTGCACGTTATGCTTGTGAACTGAAATATAATTTAACGTGTGGAAATAGAAAACATTTTGGCTAATGGTTTGGAAGAATTGCATATTTGCTTCATAGCACACTTCTTGCCATATTTTGTATTCACTATTCCGATCAGGAACAGAAAAGAAAGAACCCCATTTTACCCAGTCAACATCAATTACTGTTCACTTTTCAGGTATAGAAGTCGTTTCCCACCTTGACTGTTTAACAAATACTTCAGCTTTAATGCCATGTTATGCCCAATTTAACAGCTACTATGATTACTTATCAGTATTTATCAGACTAGGATCCGGAGAGAGAAAAGACAACATCGATCATGCTACTAGATCATTTCTCTGCACGTAAGTAAAATAACACCACGATTAGTAACCCTCAAACATATGATATTCGAAAAATATCTGTTAACCATGCTGGTTACTTTAAAGATAATAATAATAATAGAACTACAAGTGGCACAGAGTGGGACTTTGCAAATGTAGCCAATTGCAAAAGACTCTGAAAAAATCAACCTTCTACGATAATTACATCACGTGCAAGAACAGTCTAAAGTTGAGAAGTTTTAATTCTTTGGAAGATTATTATACCGGAAGTAGACAGACCTCAAAAATGAAAGTATCAATGACCTCTGACATTGAAAAGGAGACAGTCAACAAAAGTCAAGGTTATGATATACATGTCATCGAAATTTGAAAATATATATGGCTATAAAACCAGAAGTTGAAATGGGACAGCAAATATAAAAGTTTAAATAGATAGCTAATGTGAATGACCTTTGATCCTTCAAAAATCAAGGTCAAAAAAGGTCAAGGTCAAAAATTGAAACTTTTGAATTTTCAAAACACGTTCCTTTTTTGAACTATAATGCTGAAACAATCGAACTTCGTAGACAAAGTGGCTCAACAGATGAAATAATTGTATGCAAAGTTCCATTTAGAATAAATGTATTATTTACGGGTTATGCCGCTGGCCAAAAATGTCAATAATGAGTAATTTAACAGGATATGCCACTCCCACCTAATTTCTTTGGCATAAGGTAATTGATATTCTGAATGTTATGTTATGTTCTAAATTTAAAGCTTCAGGTCAAAAGATATAGGTCAAAAAATGTCAATAAAGGTCAATATCGAGAATTGAAAATATGGATATTTCAGAGCCCGTTCCTTTTTTGGAACTTTAAAGCTGAAACAACTGACCTATTAACACGAACTGGCCAAAATAATGAGGTAATTGTGTGCAAAGTTCCTTTTTGAACAAATGTATCCTATTCGAGTTATGCCCCTTCCCCAAAATGTAAACAATTAGTAATTCAACCCACCACGCCATCCTAAACTTTTTTCGTCATAGGTGCATTCATATTCAAATTGTCTAGCTGTGTTCCAAATTTCTATGTTCTACATCAAATAGGTCATAAGATATACATACACCAAGCTCAAAGAGACAAAAATGTTTTAAAAAAAACACTCAAATTTGAAAAAATTACGAATTCCAATTTAGCTTTTGAAAAACGATTGTTATATATCACTGGAAAGAGCATGGAAAGCACATTAAGAATCCGAAAAAATTAACCCTCTAGGTTAATTAGGTCACTTGCTAAAGCAGTCCAAATTTGCGAATTTGGCCATTTTCGAACAGCTATAAAAACCGGAGGTACATGTCGGAGGTCAAATGTCAAAGTATTAACTGATAGCTTCTAGAGCCGATTTTCTATTCTTGCACATATTGAACTGTGGCACTCCTAAAATATATTCATGCACATCGTCGCCTATATCTAAGGTTCGTGAATGTTGAATGGTTGCTGCAACTACTGTAGTCTAAGCTCAGGAAGGTTAGTAAAAATCGAACTAGAACTGTTCTATTAACAGTACTGATGCAGTACTTTTTTTGCATCTCTAAATGCAAATCTGCGATAGTACGTGGAGTTTAAAGTATATTGACTAAAAATAAGAGAATGTTTGTCAATTAATAAAGACCAAGTTTGGTAATGCGCATGCGCGCAACAAACATTCAATATTTCCATCAAATTTAGAATTGGACTATAGACATACATTCAAAGTTTGATGAAATTCGGATAAGAAATAAGAAAATTTGTAATGCGTATGCGCACAACAAACATTCTATATTTCCATCAAATTTGAAAGGGAACTCAAAACGTCCAAAAAAAAACTTTTGTGTCATACGATACGTTTAATGTATGCACTCAACACAAATTATATATTTCCATCGAATTACACATACACATACTTTGAAGTTTGGATAAGAAATAAGAAAGTTGGTAATGCACATGCGCACAACAAAAATTCAGTATATTAATTTAGAATTTGATTATAAACATACATACAAAGTTTAGTGAAATTTGGATAAGAAATAAAAAAAAGTTGGGAAATTAAGTTGAGGTATACCTTTGAGGTACTTCTGTAAGCTCAAATTACAGTATAACATGGTTCAATCCATCCTAGAGCTTATTTATATATCATTACTGGACATAAAATGTTTTAAACAAATATAAAAGGGGGTGTGTCTTTAAGATGAAAATCTGGCATCTGACAGCGTATTTAGACTACAATAATTGCACCATGTTAAGTGTATAGGATTTTGGATTTACATGCATGTTATATATCACTCGAAAGCTCAGGATCTCAGCATTATGAATCCGAAAATAATATTGCTTTTTCTCTATTAGGTCACCTGTTAGAAGGCTTTAAAGAAGCAAATTCAACTTATAGTGACACTCATAAAACCGGAACCATGTATCGGGCATGAACAATTCACAGCTGTGGTCAATATTATTATTACTGTAAATACGAACATTATCCAAGGTGCAGCTCTTGAGATAGAAGCATTCAAAGTTTTAAGAAAATTGCAATATTTTTCTTTTAATATGGCTTTGACATCATCAAGTGCGATAGTATTTGAAACCATTAAATAATTACATAAATCATCTGAAGATGGTAGTGTTCTAAATCAATTAGGGATTGAGATACAGCACTGCGAAAGTGCAAAATTTGCCATATTTAGACCCCTATAAAACCATAAGTTGTGGTTTGACCTCAAAGGTCAAATGGCCATAAAAAGGTCAAGGTCAGCTATTATCATCATGGTAAATGAGCCTTCAAATTTCGAAAAAATTAAACCGGAAATTGCAAAAAATCAAAAATCGGTTTCCTACAGTTTTCTGAAATTTTTGTGTTCTTTCATTTGACACCAAAATCATCAAAATCGGATAAGCCGTAATCTCTGAATAAAATGTTGAATAATTTTAGAAAAATCAAAATGGCGGCCGAACTATCAATTTTCGTCTCTAGTAAATGCCTCTGCTTTTTAAAGTCAGTGACCTTCATACATAAAAAACGGAAGTGGATCAACCGGAAGCTAGCAACTTGATTTCACACCAACCGGAAGTGATGCAGAATTTTGAGTGTATCAATTTGTTTTCTGTTTTGATCTGTTTTGGCACCAGAAATTTCAAAATCAATCGGACGCATAGCCGAGAAAATAGAAAAGTTGGTCAAATTTGGCGAAATTCGGTCAAAAAATGTGTGCTATGAATTTTCAAAATTCGAATTTTTTTAACGGCTATCACATTGGATATTCGTGCGAAATTCTAAAACTGAAAACCCGAGCAAAATCGCTTCAAAATTGCGCCTTCTGGAGTAAATTATCTACTTTTTGCACATTTTTCAATGTGCCACTGACCTTTTTGCACATTTTTTCAATGTGCCACTGACCTTTTTGCAAAATAGTTCCAATTTATATTCATTAGTTAAAACACTGAATATGCAGATCCAATGCATTGTTAATCTTGTTGTAACTAATAACTTGTAACTATTCTGCAGAGTACTCGACACAAACTCATACTTTTTTTGAAAGTACGAAAAGAAAGCAGTAAAAAGTGTCCATTTTGAAAGGGAACTCAAAACGTAAAAAAAACACTGTTGTGTCATACGATACGTTTAATGTATGCGCACAACAAAAATTTTATATTTCCATCAGATTTAGAATTGGATTATACATATACATACCAAGTTTGATGAAATTCGGACAAGAAATAAGAAAGTTGGGAATGCGCATGCGCACAACATATTTCCATCAAATTTAGAATTGGGTTATACACATACATAGTAAGTTTCATGAAAATCGGATAAGAAATAAGAAAGTTGGTAATGCGCATGTGCACTACGAAAATTCGACAATTCCGTCAAATTTAGAATTTGATAATACACATACATTTCAAGTTTGATGAAAATCGGATAAGAAATAAGACAGTTGGAAAATTAAGTGGGGGTATACCTTTAATCCGTACGCTCAATTTACAGTATAACATCGTTCAAACCCCCCTAGAGCTTATGTAAATATTATAACTGGACATAAAACCTATGTAGGGAGGGTGTATTTAAAACTACTAAAACTTTGATTTCTATTGGGGCTGACAGCTAGGTTAATCTAATTAGCCGATTATCTAATAATAGCACCATGTTAAGTGAATGAGATTGTTAATTTGCATGCATGTTATATATCACTGGAAAGCTCGGGATCTCAGCATTATGAATCCGAAAGAATTATTTCTGTGCCTCTAATAGGGCACATGTTAGGACGTTTTAAAAATGTAGACTCAACTTTCAGTGACACCAATACAACCGTCGGACATAATAAAATATCAGCGTCATCCGAGGCAAAGTGCCTTTGATAGAAGTGTTCAAAGTTTTAAGGATATTTCAACATTTCCTTTAATGTGACTTTGACATCATCAAATATGAACTGAAACCATTTATTAAGTCCATTAATAACCGCTAAACCAATTAGGTTTCGTGGAAGGGAGTGTCTACAGTATGATGAATATTTAGTCCTATAGGTCTTGCTGTATTCAATGTCTCAATCCAATGGGCTTCTATAGATTAATAGAATTTGGTAGTTTCATTTTCGGGCAAGTCAATTTCTATACGCTCAATTGGGATTAGGGTGAAATCGTCTATTGAATGGTCGTCGAGGTTTAAATGATTAGAAATAGGCTTGTCTTTCTTTAATTTGATGTTCAACCTATGAGCATTTAAATGAGTTCGTAAATTATTCTTAGTTTCTCCTACATAATATTGTTTGGGGCATTTCTTGCATGAAATTAAATTACATGAATATTACATTCGAATGTTCACCTGTTAAATGTTCCTAGATCGGGTATTCGGTTAATCCTAGAGTTGCTTACAAAATAATGAGTTTCTGATATAAAGGGATATTTTTTGCATCTACTGGACAAACATGGAGCACTTCTTAAACCTGGAGGTACTTCGGCATAAAGTCTGCGCTAAGGTGGAATTTTTTATGTTGCGTAAAAATCGTTTAGAGTACCCGCG